CACGAGAGCTGGACGCAGGACCCATGACTCTTGATGTTGACCTTTGACCTTAGTCATTTATTTTTAAATTTATTTAAATAATTACATTTCCTGAAGTTCCCCTCTTACCCCCCTCATTTAACAAATTAGTAGGCAGGTCTCAACACCTCGCCAATACCCAGTCACCCAGCCAGTCAGCCATCGTAGCAGCCATATTAGATGCATATGACCTTGACCCTATGCCCATAAACCTTGAAAACAAAAGTTCTAGGAAAACATACATAAGTCAACAAGCATATTTGCGTTACAGACAACTACCACCATATTAGGTGCAGGTGACCGACTTTGACCCATGACCATGAATGACCTTGAAAACAAAAACTCGAGAAAATTCATAGAACTCAGCCAGCACGTAACATTGCAGACTACTGCCACCATATTGTATGTAGGTGACCTTGACACCATGACCTTGAAAACAAAAACTCTATATAAAATACATAAAAGTCAACAAAAATATTATGTTAGAGACTACTGCCACCATATTGGTTGCAAATGACCTTGGACTTGACCCATGACCTCGAATTACCTTGAATATGAAAACTTGAGAAAAATCCATAAATGTCAGCAAGCATACTATATTACAGACTACCACTGAAATATTATATGCAGACTACCTCGATCCACACCCCATGACCTTGGATGACGTTGAAAACAAAAATCGAGAAAAATACATAAAAGTCAGCAAGCATAATATGTTACAGACTATTACCGCTATATTGGGTGCAGGTAACCGTGACCACCTTGACCGTGTGACCTCAGATTTCCTTGAAAACGAAAACTTGAAAAAAATACTTAGAATTCAGCAAGCATATTTGGATACAGACTTGTTGGCGATGTAGGTACTGGAGCTAAAGAAGCAGGTAACACCATAAATGGTGTTCTAGGTACCTCAGCCGATGAGGTCAATGGCGATGCTACTATAGAAATGCTGCTCGAAGAAGTCTATGGCACTGCTGGTAACCACTTTCGAAGAAGTTGATGGCAAGAAACCATTGGCGGGCAATATCCACTCCACTTTAACATAACTAGCCATGGATTACCTGACGTAGAAACTAGCCGAGACGATTTATCTGTCATGGGAGCCATTTTCAAACTAAAATTCTCAGCCGGCCTCCCTATTGCTTATAATATACGGGTATGCAAGCCTTATGACTTCATATTGACATTGAACCCATCGTATTACACCATTAAGTCATTGTGCGGACACTGACCAGCCAATCACAGAGTTCCCACATGATTGCAGCTGGCCAATCACATGCAGGCACTAAGATATCATGTGCGGTAGACAGTCTCCGACTCCTGAAAAGGATGAGGAGTCATTATGAGTCATTGGGAGTAATTTTGGAGTCAGTCTGGAGGAGTCCTTTTGGAGTCATAAGGAGTCATTTTGGAGTTATCAGGTGTCATTTTGGAGTCATAATGTATCATTAGGTGTCATGAGTCATTTTGAAGTCAGTCGGTAAATTGGAATATTTCGGACTCTTTGTGTGCGTGAGTGCGTGCGTCCGTGTGTGTGTGCGTGAGTGCGTGCGTGAGTGTGCGCGCGGCGCATGCACAACATTGACAACATTGACTTTGTACGGAACAATGCAGCATCACGGCAGGCCACCACCATGCTACCCAATTGATTGTCGCGCGAAAAGGACTCTTCGTGCAGACCACCCTCTCATGCCGACGAGCATTTTGAACATAAGTGAAAACTCGATTGAAGAATCGAGACACTATCGACCAGTTAGCGATGATGCAGGTCGCGGCTCCATGGTCGTCATGGTCAAAGGCAGCCCTACGTATTCGCAATTCATCTTTTTCGGTATGGGATCATTCTGAGAAAACCCAAATACTCGTTCGCCCCAGAAGAAAACACGCAGATTAAAACAATAAACAAAACTATTTCATAGCTACAAGGGCATATACTTTTGCATTCCCCCAGATTATTTTGATATTATCAGAGCTTTAAAAGATGCAAATAATAAGTTAAATACAAAATACTTCACTTGACCTTAAAAGTCACTTCACATTGCTGGAATTATTTTCTGCTGCAGTCGTACTGTGAACCGACTAGCCAGCCAGTGGCTTTGGCTTTGTCATTGCTGCACCTTTAAATTGGTAGAATATTTACTCAACTTTGTTCAATGGCGAGAGGAAAGGGAACGTGTCGTCGCATTGCACGTGGCGTGTCGTGACAGCTGCCTCGCTCAACTCTGGATCCCAACCGTGGAGCAAGGATTAAATTGCCCATTCCGACCCTGAGGGCGACTGGCGAGAGGACAGAGGGTGGTAGGTCTTCGGAAAAATATCAATCCGGCTTTTTAGTGCCGTCGGAGTTGGTGGGGAAGGGAAAAGGCCAGGAGATTGAATTCGTCCGATGGCCACGGCAATCCGTTACCCATAAAATCTGACTATAATATGAGGCGCGCATTGCAGACACCCTCGTGAACTACGTAAGGCAGTTTCCTTAGTGCTTACATCCCCCGCGCGGATGCATTCCGACAATGGAGTATTTTTGTAATTCTGAAGTGTTGTGATAAGGCATTTTACAAAAGGTAGAGTAAGGAGTTTCCTTACATGGAGTTTCCACCAGGCACTTTATTATTCCTAAATTTCAATGCACACCATTTATGGTTATTTAAATTTTGTGAATGTATTTTATTGACTTCATTTGAATGATTTTATCTAAATTCTTTTATGTATTACATTAATTAATATGTATTTTCACATATTGTAATTTATCTAAATCAGCCAATGTTAATTATGTAAAAACATTACTGCAACTTTTATCCACACACTACTAGATGAACAGTTTTGCTGCGTAGTTTTAATTATGGAAATTCATGTTTTAATAGCATGTTATCTATTCATCATTGGTAAAAATAATATGAAAGTGTGCCCAGCAGAAAACAAACTCAGTGTTTTGGAATTTGTGACACTGTAGATGTTTTTTCGTTTGTTTGGAATGACTGGACAAAAACATTTTATGTTGGAGAAAATATTCTAGAGAAGGTACAAATGGCCTCCATACAGAAGTTTCATGCATGACTGATGTGTCTCATGTTAATTGTATTTTAATAAAAGAGTCAAATATTGAAGCCGGGCGGTGTTATGTACCGCTGCTAGACACACCGGTGTTGTTCTTCATTCAGGAGAATGATCCAAAAACAGTGGATTTCGAACCAGAAGTTTGCATTTTCTGGTTGGTGTTCTGGTGCAGTCTGGCATGCCAGTTATTGTGCCATACGATATTTTAAAACTCCTCAAGTAAGGTTTTCTATACTATTTAATCAGTCAATGCATTATGAGCCTTGGAATTGTATGCTAAATTTAATAATGTGGCAGGTCCAGTGGTCTGATGATGTGGTATAAAAATTACCAATACCAATTTTAAATGATTCTTCAGCTCTAACTAAGAACTAAGCCTGGTTGCCCTCATGAAAACCGTTCAGATCATTCTTCAGTTTAAGTTTGGTTGTTAAATTGTATGCTTGTCATTTAACAGAGCTGTTACGTAATTATTTTAGGGATTTTTTTTTCTCTTATCACAGATTGATTTTTAAATAATTAATTTTCTCTGAGAACTGACAGCAGAATCCGTAAATTTTGATGTCTTCTTTTGAAAAGGGTTTTACTATGTAACAAGTGTGTAGTGAATGAGATTTTCAATTAATTCTTTAATTATATTTTCATAAGTTTTCTTCGAAGTGTTTTCTTGTGTTGTGTTAGTTGTATTTCTTTTCTGCAATCTAAGCAGAATTTTGCTTAGTGCTTTTTTGATACATTTAATTGCACGTGTATATCGATTGATAGTCCTGATTATGACATGAGAATTAAATAGTCCATATTATTATAGTGTGTGCTGATTTTCATACACACGTAATTTTAATTTGATTACACACACACACACACACATATATATATATATATATATATATATATATATATATATATATATATATATATATATATATATATATATATATATATATATATATATATATATATATACACATATACATATACATATATACATATGGTTATATCGGCTCAAAAAATATATATTTTTATAAAATTAATCTGTTCCAACTACACTGGAGAACAGAAATTATTGGCTACACAATCGTGTAGTGTATTACTCTATATATTAGAGAAATATCGGCGAACCAAGCGTGGGGCATGCAACATCTTTGTGTGCGTCCACGAGCTATTACATTACAGGAGTGAATAAAATAGTTATATTTTAACGTCCATCCCGCAGTATGTCGGGAGACCGTTAAGTGGCAGTCTTCAATTCTTCTCGAGTTGTTTTTTCTGCTTTTGCGGCCTGGTTTTTTAGACCTTAATTCTGAGGACCTCATTCGCTAGTCAATGCTGGTTTGACTGTGAAATTCTTCATCAGTGTTACTGTCCAACGCAATTTGTCTTCGATTCGGTAAACCTACCACTATCCCTATCCCTCCCCCTCCCCCTTCTCTTTCTAGAGGATTCTCGCCGCTTAGGTCAACAACAGTGTTTGGGGGCCCTCCTCGATAGATAAGTAAACAATTTTTCTAATATTTTACTGACAATTGTTTTAAAACAATGCCATTTTTTATAAGCTGAGATGTAGAACAGTCAAATATGTCTTTTTTAATAGGCATTTAAATGGACCGCATATGTAAAAAAAAAAACACTTTTTCTGTGCAAATACACAGTTTATTTTATCTCATTTCTGCAACTCTGTGTAAAATTTTAACTTTTAAACGTGAGATGAAACCAATCAAGGCATCTTCCCGCTATCCGTCGTAAGTGATGTAGGAAAACCATAGAAAACCAAAATGAGGATGGTCGAACCCGGAGTAAAACATTTATAAAATCTTTTCAACGTATAAGTTTGCGAGTGTTTGTAAATTTTGTAATTTTTCTGTTTCATTCATTTGGATATTTGACAACTGCGACAGATTTCAGGTGACAGCGCTAATGGTGTGGCGACTCGCGACGACTCGAAACCGGAACACCTGGCGCTGTAAGTCAGCGCGCAACCAACTGTGCTATCGCAAGTCTGCGGCTAGCCCGATCCGTGTACAAGTTGAAGGCAGTTCCTCTCAAGTGGTAGATAGTGAACTGTTCACTACACAGATTCATCTTAAACACCAGATACAAACTTTGTAAGACGATTCGTTATGGAAAATGGGGCGGGAAAAAAAAACATTATATGATCTAGTGTGATTATTAAGGGAGAGGCGTACCCCTGAGAATTGGGAATTAATATCAGCTATTTGCAAAATTTCATAACTTAACGTCAGATAAAATTAATTTGTAAATAGAGTTGGCATGGTTTGATAGCTGTCATATGTGAAACATTCAGCGAGTGATAACATCGTCCTTCAGATGTAATTTAAGAGGGTGCATGTTGTTAACCAGTAAATGCGATTTATAGACCATTCACGGTTTCTTCACATTTTCCGGAAGCCCTACTAAAGTTCTACTTTCAGGATATTCCTCCGCCTCGTGCAAACAACGTCTAGAAAATTACACCGAAGAATTATTCCTTACTAGGCACTGCCAACACACTTATCTTCTCCCTGTTGTTATTCGTATTAATTATAAATAAAATATCATGTATAGATAAAATGTAAGCCAGAGTTGAATTTAACCAAAAGTAAGATACTTTTATGTTAAGACAAGTACAAAAAGCTTGCGATATACGATATATATATATATATATATATATATATATATATATATATATATATATATATATATATATATAACCATACACGAGGTGATTTTCAAATGTTTGGATGAAGAAGTTTGAAGGAACCGCGAGTAGACTATAGCCGTGGGTGTCATCGACTGTTATCACCCGCCAAATGTTCTCATACTGTATGGCAGATTCCAAATCAAGCCAGTGGTATTCACGATGTAGTTTCTGAATATTTCAAAATAACTACTTTTGAGGCCCTAATTACTTTTTCCTTTCAGCCGTTTTTTATCCTTAGACCAACTTTTTAAACGTATATTGCCATGTAACTAATAAACACATTGAGTATATTTCCACCGCACTCGGAAGTTAACGTCTAAGGCTGAAATAAAATATATTTATTGACTATTATTCCAAATTAGAGGGCTTTCAAAAGTGCTCACTTTACCTTGAATAGCCAATAGTTACCAATTTTTAAAAGTGGGTTTAAACCTTGATAAGGAATACTGGGTCATGGGTCGTACTTTTATACCCCCATTTCGCTAGTATTCATTTTCATTCAATTGAAATTTCATCAAAAATAACTTAGCTGCACCAAAGAAATACGCAATTTAAACTGTGCTAAAAGAAAATCACCAAAAAACTTGGTCCGATACAGTAAAACAGAAATCGTGCATTCTTCTTTGTTTTTTTTTAACGATCCCATTGGCTAATACTGCTCGTGCACACGATTGGGAATTTAACTTTCGCCAATTCCTACACTTCTGCACGTCGGGGTCGCCTGCCTGCATCGGTTTCCCTCCTTTTTTTGTCCGAGAATCGCGGGAGCTATAAGGGTTTCACTAGCACGCGCTACAAGTGCGTCATCGCCGCTACGCGCAGGTAAGGCTCTCTACTGGCGTGCTGTGTTCTCGTAGTGCTGCGTGTACCTACGGATCTTTCACCGGTGACCCTGTCATTTTATTGATGAAAAGTCTGGAGCAAAGTTCAATACAGGCTTCTACCGTAGTTGGACTCGTGTACGGCTAGTATGTTTTGAAATGCGCAGTCTGAAAACGCTGTTTTTAACTATATCGGAGGGTTCCAAAATATTTGCAGCATACGTTGTAACTTTAAAGTACCATTCAGTACTCGTCTGGAGTATGATGTATTTTCTTATGTAAACATCCTGGGGGCGCATTTAATAGTTTCGTCATAAAACCAGGATTCCAAACACACTGCTACGTAGCTCATGCGCCCCGCAGGCGGAACTCTTAACCACCTATGATAATCTTAAGTCAGTTATTGACTATTCACGGTAAAGTGAGCACATTTGAAAGCCCTCTCATTTAGAATAATATTCAATAAATAAATTTTATTTTAGCCTTAAATGTTAAAACTTTCGAGTGTAGTCGAATACACACACCGTATTGATTATTCACGTGGCAATATTTATTTTAAAAGGTGGTTAGAGAAAAAAAAAATGGCTAAAATATAAAAGTAACTAGGGCTTCAAAAATGCGTACTTTACCGGAAAAGCCTGCTCGCGTTCTCTGGCAGGTGCCACCATCCACTCGTTGTTTTATGAATTGCCAACATTTATCTCCATGCATGTAGGTTCGCAATTGCGCATTCCTGCATGTAGGTATTTTACAACCTTGGGCGAATGGAGTTTGTCGCCGGGTACTCGCTAGGGTTGGCGAAGGAATAGCAAGCAGCGGTGGAGGTGCGATAGTTTACAGCCGTTGTTAACTTGCATCAAATTACCCGGGCTGTAAAACCGCCTTATCGGCCGACGAGCGAGTACGCGAGGCCACTTTTACGAGGGCGCTTAATTTTCGGTGTCACGGATGGCCGCCAATGGATTTGCGCATTCGTTATTCTGTGTAGTTGCAAGGTCGTTTCCCGCGACGCTGGGCCGAAGAAGCCGCTTGAGTACTGGACCTAAAAATCAGTGTTCCGCTTGGTAGTTCCCTTGTCCCCGGTTGCACCAACATCTTCCCCGATCCGAGATCGAATGATACTAGTTCCGAACCAGGATCCAGTTTGATCTGCTCCAATGTAAAAGTGTTGCACCAACGAGATTTCATGATTCTGGATCTCCGATTCGTCGATCTTGGTTCCAAAGTGAGAGATCGAGATTAAGTACGAGACAAATTTTGCTATTGGTTCGTAATATATGACATCATGTAAGTAGGGGTATTTTTCACCATAGAAGAACTGGATGTGCGTTGTTTTTTCTGTTTTAAGTGAATTAATGTTGTACGAAGATTACTGAGTAATATTCGAGTGCGTATAATGTTTTGATCTCCCAAGAAAACAATCGAACATAGTTCTATGTGTTGGCGTATTTTAAAACTGCATTTGTCGACGATAGCTGCTGATCTCGGATCGAGATTTCGAACCGCCAATTTCGGCGGTTCGAATGAACTTCGTCTCGATCTCCAGTCCAGCTCTTGACTCGAATGATGCAACAGTTTTCTGTGTCGATCTTAGATCCGATCTCGGATCGAGTTTCGAACCACGATGGTGCCACCCGGCATCAGTCTTTCCGGGCTTCGAATCCCATTCACAATACCAGTATAAGAGGCCTCTGCCTAAAGTGTATGCGAGGAGAGTGGCGCAAATAAGGGAAGTAGCCCAAGACGAATAATTAGGAAAGGGGACTTACAATATGCGGAGGATGTTTCTTTATAGTTGTCTTCGCAGTATCGCGTTGCAGACGTAGCCACGCGACGATATAGCGCGAGGTAAGTCTTGTAGCATTATTACGCAAAGCACATGAACACCTCCGTTGGCGATGCGACAACCGACGAGGGCTAGCTACGAGTGTTAGATGCATAGTGGTAACTTATTATTATTATTACGAAGTGCAAGTAGAACTTTTCTATAAGAATGTATGTTCTTGAGTGCGACATTTGTAAAGAATAAAGTAATGAATAAACAGTGAATGCAAGCGCCGTGCACGTGGACTCGAAAATGTATTTAATTCCAGTTTGTATTGCAATTTGTACGGTAGCAATGGGAGTAGTTAATGGACAGTGATTTTTTTTTTCAAAGGTTGATTTTGAAATGGTTTACTTTACCGTGAACAGTATATAGGTTTAAGAACTGGCCGGGGCACTTATTCGGTACAAGTACGTGAGCAATGAAGACTAGACTGTCACAGTGGCTCCACAGACGGCTGTGAACTTTGACTTGCAGGTAACACGAAGCAAAATGTGAATGCCAGCAGCACAGTTACCCATTTCCAAAATCGGACGGCTATTACGCCATTAATAAATGTTAAAACCACGTGTTCTATTCGAGATTAGCAAAGTTTCAACGTAAATGTTAGTAGTAGGGGCGGGGGCATTCTAGATACAAAGGGATGTCGCCTCTATTGATATCAAAGTGTTAAATTAATTGAAATGGTTAATTAAATCTATGGAAAGGGTTAATTAAATTGGTAGAAAGAAATTCATTTTAATCCGATGAAATCCGATCAAAATAATTTATTCCGATTTCAAGCCCATAAAAAATTGTTTTTGGTGCCAGAGTGTACTAATGGCCAAATTTATTAGTTTATTTCTTCCTTTTTGTGGGTTGGGGAGCCGCTCTCATAGATGTTCACCGTCTGAACTCTGGCACTCGACTGAGGTGTGGCATGTTGGGGACAGGGTGTGTGTGTGGTGAGTTTTTTTGCAAGAGTGATATAAGTGTAAATTTTGTCTCGTAGACGGTGGTGGGAGATTTGTGACTTTAACGTGCTGTATGTTAGTAATGACAAACAATTAAATAGACTACGACTGTTTCCAAATGCAACTAAACGTTACACATGAGAGGAAAAATTTCAGAGTGGTTTAACGAATTCTACGCGTGAATAAATTACACAAAGGACTCGTCGAATCGCAAATTTCAAACGAACACAACTACGTGAATAACCTGGTGTCGACAAGTGGTAAACAATCGAAATTACGTGACTCCAGTATGGAATTAATTAATTAACAAAGCAAAAATATCCCTATAAATTAAACTGCAGTTTTGCTAAACACAAGCTATATGAAAAATATGACACTACTTGACGCTTCTCGCACATAGCTGACATGATTTTAAAACACTTCTGTCTGCATGTGAGACTGGAGAGGAACTTTAGAAACACAGTCCACATGTTAAAAGAAATGAATTGATTAACATGTATAAAAAAGAAAACGTTTAATATACATCCATTCACTCAGGAGGTTACTGCAGCACTGACTTGGATATAACACTTATGTCAACTTATAACCTGTGCCGGCCTACGTTTAATTATAGACTGAGGTGAAAAACTCGGAAATTTTAATGAAAATACAAAACGAATGTTTCCAAATAAATTAAACGGCTAATGAACACAAATACA